GAACTTACCGAGACTCTGTTTCAAAATTTTAAAAAAGGGATGTAGCTCAGTGTAAAGGACACGGTTCAGTACCAGTACAAAAAACAAAACAAAACAAAGAAACCACTTCCCCCAACTTTGTAGATTTAGAGCTACAGATGAGAGTATTAAGCACTCAGCCAGTTTACCACCCCTTCAGTTTGGGTATTTCTTCCCCTGTGCAAACTGCAAAAAAAGTAAGAGTTGTGCACTGGGGAGGCTGACGTAGGAGGACAGCTTGAAGCCCTGCAGTGAGACCCCATCTCAAAAAAAGAGTCCTGTAAACAAAGGTTTATTAGTAAAACTAAATAAACAATCCACTCAGAAACAACGCAGAAAAAATAAAAGGCCCTCTATCTGTCCATACTATATCACTACTTCGGTGTAACGTTTAGCAACTTCAACTTGGTTATAAATTTACCCTTGCAGCCTTCTTTACTGTCTAGAAAAGGAATTTAGAAGCCATCATAATAAAACATGAGTGAGAGTCAGGATGCTTTTAAACAAATCTGAAATGTGAAACCAAAATTAAAACACTAAAAGAACAAAGAATCATAGCTCAGGGAAGGAAGCTGTATTTTGTTACATGCTTATAAAGGTGAACCAAGCTCATTAGGAAGATGGGACTATGAACTCATTTTCTTTGAACAAAAACAGCCCAGGGTGGTGTGGCAGGAGAGATTACACCTGTAATCCCAGCACTCGGGAGTCTGTGGCAGGAGGATCACTGTGAGACCAGCCTGGACTACAGAGAGTTCAAGGCCAGGCTGAACTGCAAAGCGAGACCTGGTCTCAAGGAAAAAAAAAGAAAAGATGCATTCACTGAAACAAAAACATAAGGCTTGTGTGGTGGCGTGCATGCCTGTAAATTCCAGCACTTGGGCGGCTGAGACAAGAGCATCACCTCAAGTTCAAGGACAGCCTGTGTTACATAATGAGTTCAAGACCAACCCTAAACTGCGTATCAAGACTGTGTCTCAAAAAACAAAAACACAGAAGCATGTACAATCTTTTTGTAAAACCTCCATGAAGCATGGCTGTCTAAACCTTAAAGGGATCATTATTTAGGGCTTTTGTGTTACCAAAATATATCATTCCAGACAGTTATACGAGGAATTAAAAATTTACATTCAGTGCAAGAGGTAAGTTAACCTAACTACCAAAATTAATTGTACTGTTCACAGGTATGTATACAGCACTTTGTAAATAGTACAACAAGGAAAACAATGAGGTGTTTTTCTTACACGAGCAGGCACTGTCCACATTAGGATGGACTAGCGTTTCAACTCCGCGTCTTTTTCAAAACACCATTTGTTACTTTACACAAGTGTGGCTACTGCTATCAAAATGTACTCAATCTAAAAGTCCAAGCGCAAATGCCTCTGGAACAGACACTTGTAAGTAATGCTCTAAATACATGTTTCCTTTTGAAATGTAACTGTCAGGGTAAGTGGTTCTCCGGTAGTGCTCATTAGTGTCTCTTAAGGGTCTATGATGAAGACAAGGTATCAGATATTATCTTAGCTTGAAGGAAATATCCACAAATAATTGTTCTGCAAACTGTTCTGATTTTAGTAATGTATGGTAAACACACTTAGCAGCAGCTTCAAATTCAGGCATAGTAAAGCTTTTTAAATCTAGACCCAGTCAATGACTTGAACAATTGCTGAACTTTCATTTTCTAGTTTGTAACACACCGATATACTAACTTCCAGAGTTGTGAACATTATAGAAAATAATGCTAAAGAGCTCTGAAATGTTTCCCAAAATGGTATGACTTCAGTTCCCTGTGAAATGGGCTTACTGTGGGAACACCTACTTTAAAATATAAATAGCAGCAATGAGTCGGGATTCATGGCCAAACATAACTTTATTAATTTTTTCTTAGAAACATTTGCTTTCTTTTAAAAAATCTAGAATTTAGATACTTCCCATCCCATCACAAATCTGTGTACATTATTTACAACTTTCAAATAAAACATTACAGATTTGACATCCAGATCCCTGTTAAAAATGAAGCAATTAAACATTGATCAGTAACTACTACAATCTGTGTAGTCTTGGCACAGTTTAAAATAGAGCATCTAACTTGCATTTCATATTTCAGACCATTTTCCCCCCTCCCAGCTACGTAGTTTTTTCTGGTGCTTTTGGGGACTGAACCTAGGAATCACGCATATAAGACAAGCGCTCTACCACTAAGCTATAGCCATACCACTTTTTATTTGAGATAATGTCTCACTAAACTGTGCAAGTTGGACTCAAACTTGCAATCCTCCCGCCTCAGCCTCCCTAGTACCTGTAATTACAGGCATGCTCCACCATATCCAGCTTCCAGCTATAAACTAATCTCCATGAGCGCAGGATCTTCACCCTTGCGCACCGATACACCTGCACAATGGGAATGGTGCCCTACGCTGCCATCACGTGGCACCCGCCTCTGCTTTTGTGTTCAGAAATGATGCCTAGTCAAAATCTAAGTCTTCTTATATTTAGTGTATTCTCTCTCCACCTACATTTCATGATACTGCTTCTAGTGGTAATTTTAAGTAACAAAAGTGTAAGAAAAATTCAAACAGAACAAAGTATTTCCTAAAAGACTGGTGTCCTTACCACCCTGGTTATGCATGTACAAAAATAACAAATACAATTTAGTGGCTGTAAAAAACTGTTTTGCTAAAAATAGTTATTTCTGCAGACCAATTTAAGGAGACAAGTTCTCAAATGAAAATGCATTAATCTATTTCACAATGTGCACAATTAAGTATTTCAGAAACAAAAATTAAACTTGTGCAAAACTGTAAGAATCATCCACCTATATAAGAATAATATATAAAAGAGAAATAAAAATTTCCATTTATATCATTAATAATCTGTTTCAGTCACGACCATACCAAACTGACTTCATAGTAAGTACTTTAGAATCGCTAGAAATGAATACCTGAAAAATCAACCTAGACGGCTGGTGTGTGTGTGTGTGTGTGCACACATGATTGCCTCAAAGGGAAGATGAAGGTTAAGAAATCACCTGGAAAAGGTCAATTTTACTATCATTCAGAATAGAAATTATGCAAAAAGAGAAACTTGCTTTACACTTATAAAACTCAGAGTATTTAATATTCTATTTATTTAATAGGTTTTTTTTTAATTTATTTAATTTATTTATTTAATAAAAACCTATTAATAAAACCTATTTAATAAAAACCTATTTAATAAAAACCTATTATTTAATAAAAACCTATTTATTTAATAGGTTTTTTTTTTTTTTTTTGAAACAAGAGTCTTGCTCTAATTCAGGTTGGCCTTGAACTCTCTATGTAGCCCAGGCTGGCCTCAAACTCATGGCAGTCCTCCTGCCTCAGCCTCCTGAGTGCTGAGATTACAGGTGTGCGCCACCATGCCCGGCTTTAATGTTCTAATCTGTATTTTTTCTTTTGCCAAAATGTCAATAAATTCAGCTTAAAGTGGCAGAGTGGGAGGGTAATTTTTATACCTTCAGAAGGAATTAACATTATAGAAGCCTGAAAAATTCAAATCATCTGCAGTGAGAATTTTGTTACATGAAACTTGTCCATTAAATCTTGAGAGTTTTATCTCTATCATCTCATACACAATTAAGACGACAGCTGAACGAAAGTGATTCCTATAGTAAATCTTAACATTAGGGACAAATTTAAATTATTTTAGGGGGGTCCTCAAAGTATACATCTCTTTGTAAGAAGTGGTGTTTTGTTTTGGTTTTTTTTGACACAAGGTCTCACTATGCAGTTCAGGCTGGCCTTTAGCTCACTTTGTAGCCCAGGCTGGTCTCTTAACTCGAAATGATCCTCCTGCCTCAGCCTCCTGAGTGCTGGGATTACAGGCATGTACCAGCATGCCCAGCTGAATTGGTGTATTTTTTAAAATGCCAGTTAAGTTTCAAACTAAGAGTTTTCAAAATATGTAGTCAAATTTCCAAATCACAAATAACTTTTGGCCCTCATCTTTCTGAAAAACAATCAAAATTTAGTGATAAATGATACATGAAAGCTATAGAATTCTCAGTATTTTGTGATATGTAGGCTTAAACTGAGCATAATTAGTACATAAACCTTTCTTGGGCAACCCCCCATCTTCAAAGTCAAATTACTCATTTGAGAAAAAGTATGTTTAGTAAAAGCTTTGCTTCCTTGCAACTACTCTATTTTAAATATTGAGTCCATTTTTCCATATTCTTCAACACAAAACTATCATACAATTGTCAAAGTTTAAATTTTCAGAAAAGAACTGTAAGACAGTTAAATGTAATTCTTTTTAAGAAGCCTACATATCCAAATGATAATGTCCACTTTACAGTAGTGACACCAGGAAACCAATAATGCAAATAATGCTTAAAACATTCTCTTCGGCAGATTTAGAGTCTATGACACATTCTTTTTGCCTAGTGGCTTGCTTCTCAGAAAATAACCAAACTACTAGACTTGGTTTGGTGATTAAGAGAAGTCATACTAAGCTGCCAAAAAAGTTTTTGTTCAACAAAAGTGATGAAATGATTTTCTTGCACAGTCACACGCTGATTCTCATGGCATCTCTAAAAGAGTGCTAAAAGCATTAAGTTTTGCAGGATAGCAGTAATGAGTAGTACTTCCAAGGGAACTACTCTGAAGATCAACTGATTTGGATGTTAAGGTATGACATACCCATTTTAAAGGAAAGTTCTACAACTTAATACTTTCATCTCACATAATCTACCATTTTAGTGGTTATCAAAACCTCTCTGCGAGAGGGTGTAGAAAAAGCTATAAAAGAAATCTGTCATTTTTGCTATTTTCCCATATACAGGGTAAATGTTAATACATAAAATCAAGTCTGGAGATTACATATGTAAAATATAAATACCCACATCATCTCTGTTTCCTAGTAAAAGATACAGGTGCTTCATCTATCCTGATAAGCCAGGCAGTAACGCTATCTGAAATATATTTTACCCTAGCCATATCTTCTTCTATCTAATATATTTTATGCTGACCATTTAGAATTTACAAATGACTAACAGGTAAAGTAGAGAGAAGTAAATTTTCAGGTAAATTATCCTCCAAAGCCACCAGCTAACTAATACATGCTTAACTGTTTTAGTGTGCTCTACTGCCATGGCTTTATGGGAAATGGAAGTCAGCAAATGAAAGCCATGAGCACCATCTACTGTAGCTAATTTTTAAAATTTCACTCTTTCTGGTATTATTTTTTCTCCACCACCACTAGTCCATCATTTAAAATAACTCCTCAAACCTGCATCACGTTAACATTTCACCAAAGTTGTTATGAGTGCCAATAATACCTTGTCAACTCACTACTTTACATTTTATGGGATCCTGTAATCAAAAAGAATAAAAAACTTCTGCTTTATAACTCTGTATAAAGAACAAGGGGAAAATAATTTACCTGGTTATTTATAAATTAAATAGAGATCTGAAAAGAATCTAAATAGACATTTATAAGCAAGCTCTGCTTTAAAATCAAGCTTTGATCCTTACTTTGTAAAGGGCATCTTACATGTAGGAACCAACCAAAGCAAAGCAACTTAATTAAGTCAGCTCTTTCTCTTCTGCTCTAGCGAGTATTTCCTTACTTGCAGCAACCTCACACCATGTACCACACCAGGTGTCTCCCGGGGAAAATGTCTATACTTTGTTGCCACATACAAACATACGTGTATCCTTCCTTCTCAGTAACTGAATAAACGAACACTCAGAAACAGGCACCTGAGATTCCGGCAGAGTAAAAACAAATATTTCCTACTATTTGATAGTAGCAAAGTAAATCCTACTATCAAATTTAATTTGTGGAAATATTTTCCCATTTCTACAGTATACAATAAATGAGTAAGAGTAATTCTTCCTATTTTCTCTGTATTTGGCTATTGCAATCCTTTTGTTCCTAGGCTGACAGGAAATCATTCAATATGGAAGACTATTTGAGGAATTATGTTTTATTTCCTCGTATAGGTAGGACTTAAAAAATCATGACACCAAATTTTATTTCTGAACCAGCTCATGGTGGTTGCTATTATCTATTCTGTGTTCTAAAAGGTTTGTTTTAAGAAAATCAGCTAGCTTTTGTTGCTACATATAAATAAACATTACTAGTGAGCCTCAGTAAGTATACTTGCCTCTGTCGGGCTCTCCGTTACTCCTACTGTTGGTACTTAGTGCGTTAACTGCTAGAAATGAATGGAGAAAAAGGCAGTTCCTAGTGATCTGGACTACTAAAAGTATTAAAGTGTATCACTACTCTACTTGTTAATGACAAAAACAAACTTACTTTCTTTTATCCTAAGCATTTGTAATCTATTCAGAGCAAGCACCTCTATTCTACAAGCAAATGTTTCTAACTGGAGGAAGGTTATATATTTCTAACTGAAGAAAGCAGATTTACCAAAAATGATAAAACTAAATTTGGAAGTCCAAAGAGTATTTCTCAAGAACAAAACTGAAGTGAAAAACTTATCATCTATTTTAAAAACTAATTTTCTGAACTTGCTATTATTGGTAGTAGTAATCCACTAGAAAGTTCTGGCAACTAAAATTTTAACTACTGAATTAGCATTTTCATTGTCTGATATCACTCTAAAGAAAATGATTCCTTTCACAATGGAAAATCAGAAGTCAGAATACTTCAAACTGGGCCTGTAATATGCAAAAAAAAGTACTATATATCATTTTAAAATGACAGGAAATACCAGCTCCATTCACTGAATGGAAATGCTAAGAAGGCAATCAGTTTTCCCAAACAGTCCTTAAATCCATGCTTAGTGTCTTTACCTAAAATCAATAATGTATTCTGAACTTCTCATGGAAGTTGATTCCTAAAAGGAAGTCTCTAAGATCTGTTTATAATTGATTAAAATCTTAACATCATTCCACTGAAAGGTTTTAAGACAGAACTTTCTAGAACTTAATTCCCCATATTTAATTCCATCCCTAACTCCCAATATAAAGATTAATCCCTTTCCCTTACCAAACACTCTATCCCCTACTCTTCAAAGTAGGTGGTTATTCTGCAGACTTATGGCTCATTTGGCAATTGCTAAGAAACCTCACAGTTCAGCATCACCTCTGAAGATGGCAATCCTATATATAACCTGAAGTTTTTCACCCACAGTGTAGTAACATGTAGAAAGACACCACAGTGCAATTAACATGTAGAAAGAAGCCAAAAGGCAATATGGATTATATTTTAATATCCTCAAGTTTCAATATCACAGATATTAAGAGATGGAAAAAGACCTGGTATAGAACTTTTAAGCATTTGTTGAAGAGAATATATTACTGTCGATATCAAAAATAATTAAGAAATACTAATTTTTTATGTTCTACATGCACACCTTTACAAATTATGTTTCTTTAATGTAGTAAAAGCTGGAGAACACCAATTCAGGTAAACTATGGCTTTTATCATAGATTATTTTACAGCATGCACCAGTAAGTGCCCTGGGTAGTAATCCTAATATTGTTTCAAGCCTTGTTCAGTTTTGTCTGTGCTTTGCATCTCAGAAGTGAACCTGCCAAGGCACTTTAAAACATAAGTCTCCTGGGGACTTCACAATGTGCCACAATTTACACAACACAGAATCCCATCCATCAGCAAGCAGCTTCTTCCAGCACATGGTCTTATTAAAACTGCTCAACCAAAATCATGTTAAAAAAAAATACTGCGTACCACTAAGACAAAACTTACCCCCTTTCCAATGGAGGGAATGGTTCTTGGCTTCCTCTACCAATAGGGTATATTTTCAGATATTCAAAATAAAGAAAAGGGAACCCAAGCAAACCCAAGACAAAACAACCCAGATAAAATATGGCAAAACCCCCAAATACACTCCACAGCTTCATTTGAGGAACAGTTTGCATAGCTCTACATTCTTTTATCTATCCTTTGAGGTGAGTTTTTCAATCAGTTCTTGGAGTGGTGCAAGTTCTCTTCTATCAATAAGGTTGAACTCCTATGCAGAAAGAAGACAAAACAAATAGCAATAAAATTATTTTCCTCTCATTTCACAGCAGAATCCAATTAACATTTGTTGAAAATCAGCTTCGAAAGTAAATAAAAGTAGATTTGAAATTTGTCTTTTGGTATTTACTCTGTGTCCTATGCAAATCACTTAACCACTCCTGATGTTATTTTTCACATCCATAATATCAAGATTTACCCTACCCTCATGAAATTATTTACAAGGACTAAATATAATGATGGATGCTAATCATTTTAAGTAATTCCTCGCACAAAGTAATAATTAATACATGGGAGTTGCTGCTTATTTTTCAAATAAATAACCTACCACCATTTAAATGTATCAACCAAATATGGGGATAAAAAAACGTGGCTCATCAGGCAAATTTAGGCATTATATGAAGAGTAAAAGCTTGATTATAAATAAATGCATCTGTAGGATCTCCTAAGATGTGGTATAAGAACATTAATAAATGATATAAATGACAAAATCCTGCAAAGAACAAAGGAGAACTGCTGAGTTTAATTTGAGCCTTTGGGCTGGGGATTTAAGCTCAGTGGCACAGCGCCTGCCTGGCAAATGCAAGGTCGTGAGTTCAATTCCTGGTACCGGGAAAAAAAAAAAAAGAGAAAACTTTAAAAGAAAAAAAGAAAAAAAAATAATTTGAGCCTTTTTTTTTTTTTTACCTGGATACTGGGACTGAACCCAGGGTCTCTCAAAGCTAGATATGCACTCTACCCCGAGATACACTTGCAGCACCTAATCTGTGCTTCTTTACAAGTTCCACTTTAGTACCAAAAGCAGAAAAAAAGTTTCACCCTTATCATGCTCAACTCCTAATTTAATTCATTTATTACATGTGCCAAACAACTCGCTTAAGAATGGAGAAGCATTAAGGTACATTAAAGAGCAGGCTCACTCCTAAGATCTGTGGAGTCTGGGCCAAGAACAAAGGGATACATACCATATGACTGAAGTATTAAATTCACAGTAAGCTGATGTTTTAAATAAGTCATTCTATGCTCTTACTTTGACAAAATATACTTTCATAGTGATCAGGAAAACTTTCAAATTTATAACTCTTACAATTCCTCAGGTTACTACACAGAAAGTAGTAATAGAAAGGGAGCCATCAGGAAAATTTCCTGCTCTTCTAACAGCTAGCTCCATCCTGAACCTCAAGGTGCCTCATGCAACCAAATACGAATACCCTGGTGACATATATGGGTAATGTCCACATATCCTTACAAAAAAACCTATTATCTGGCTACTTCTCAGACCTAGAAGTATACCTATCAGAGCTGTGCTCTACTCTCCAAAGAATGGACTCAAGGAAGATTCACAGACCCTGATGATGCACCTGGGACCACACAGGCAGGGAATTCTGGGTCTCAGGTATCCCAGAATACCCTGAAGTGATATTGGTAGGTATGTTCTTGGCCCTGTGGATTATTCATCTGCAGCTGGAGAAGGACTGAAGCAAGATTTTTTAAGTTGTTAGGCCCAGGGGAGGTACCACTCTTAATCAAAGAGTGATACTGTGTAACTAATACCTTCAATGTGCCAGTGTCATTATGATCAGATATGGTAAATGCTATATGTCAATCCCCTATTATTTGCTAGGACTTAAAAACTACAAAGTAAAACTAACCCTTGTGCAGGGAAAATATACTCTCCTAAACCACTAGAACCTCATCTTTAGCAATGATATTCTACCCACGTCATAGCACAGATGCAGACTCTAAGATGTTTCCAATGTTCCTGTGGGGTCCACAGATGGAGCATTACAGTAAATTAATTCTTCAAAGCAAAAGTTTTAGCAAATTACAGCATCTTAAAAAGTGTTTTTATGGTGAAACTGGGATATAAAATATGCACCTTCAGTGCGAGAAGTATGTACAGTGGGAAAATGGACACATTTTTCTTCAATGCACATGAGAAGTGAAGGCATTTACACACGTATGCCCACAGATACACATACACAGCGAAATTTCAAACCTTGGGTTTCTTCTGGCCAACTGCTCTCAAGCTCTACACCAAAATACATACATACACACAAATATATACAAACTGGTCAGCTCATCCAGTTTCAACACTTTCTCATTTTTGCTTAGTATTTCTCTAAGTAGAGAATTAGGCAACAAGTCAGCAAAGGCAAATCTTTTAGAGACAAGTGCCCACAATATACTTACTGCAAAGTTCCAACACTGCATTAAAACTGAATACTGAGGTTTTAGTTTAGAAAAAACAACTCATACATGTACATCTTTTGTCTTAAGAACAAATAATGTACATGCCATAGGCTCCCCACCACTGCACTAAGCATTAAAGGCCTCTTAATCCCACTTACCTGGACAAAAAATATAAAGTGCTTGAAAGATGTATTGAGATGCGCTTCCTCCTGAAGCTGGATCACAGGGTCAAAGTGCTGGTGATAAATGTGCGCATAGACCCTAAAGAGACGCTTAAGGATGGTTTTTGCCACAGACATGAAGTTCTTTGGGAATGGAACACCTGATAAGGAGATAAACACCATGCTCTATTAAACAAGAGAGAAGGAAGCAACATGATTTTGTCAGTAAATGGTAACATGAATTAGTAAGACATGGCTGAAAAAAAGTAGTATTTATGAATTACTACTTAATATACCTGTCACATAATGACATTCTCAACATATAATGAAAATAAACTCCAGTTTCTGTGGAGTAAGAACTACTCTTCATTAGAGCCTACTGTATCCCTAACACACTACCACTTTACTAAAACGAAGTGAACTTCTTGACATCAAGCCTTAATACAAATATGTGCTGAACATTAATACAGTAACACACGGTGTTCAGTTCTGTTTAAAATGCTTGTAAGCTATTTCAGACTTTTTCTACACAAATTATTTCATTACTACTCCCACTCTATACTGGTCCCTAAATTAGGTGCAATCTATGTTCAGTTAGGCTCTTTATTCTTTGAGTTACAGCAATTTTACAGCCTTAAACAGATATAAAACTAGAAAAAATATATAGTCCCTGTGGAAAAAAGGGAATCCTTATACACTGTTGCTGGAAATGGAGAGTGGTAAACCATTCTGGAAAACAGAATGGAGGGTGCTAAAGAAAAGAATCACCACATGACCCAGCAGTCGCACTTCTGAGTAGTATCTACCCAAAGGAAATTAAATCACCATATCACAGATATCTGCACTCTCATGCTCACTGCAGCATTATTCACAACTGCCACCACATGGAAACAACCCAGGTGTCTACCAACAGATGGAGAGATAAGGAGCTTGTGAGACGCACGCCCACGCTGAAACAGTATTCATCAGCCTTACGGAGACAGAGACCCTGCCTTGTATCACAATAGGGATGGACCTGGAAAACATTATGCTAAGTGTAAGCCAGATACAAAAGGAAAAATAATGCACAGTCTCACACTGGGGAAAAAAAAGATTAAATACATAGAGACAATAAAACTATAGTTATCAGAAGTGGTAGGTGGAATCTGAAGAGCCATAGGCCAAAGGATACAAAGTAGCAGACATTCAGGAGAAGCAAGTCTAAAGATCTAATAATGTATTACATTAAGATTTTCATTAAATGAGTATAGGTGCTTTTGCCACCAACAAGGGATTATGGGTTATTGCGAGGTATGTTAATTTGTTTCACTACAAAAACCATTTCATGAGATATCTGTATCTTTTTTAACATGTTATATACCTCAAAGATACATAATAAAATTTTTAAAAATTAAAAAGCCATATTCTTTATTAAACTGGCTAAATGATCCAGACTGGCATAAAACCCAAATACCAGTACTCCTAGGGTTAATGTCTTAACATTCCCTCTCTGCTCATTTAAAAATACAAGTCTTAAGAAAACAAAATGAAAGTGTATTCTAGAAAATAATGTGCACTTTTCAAAAATATCAGTTTCACAAAAGACCAAAAAAAATCACAGTACACATATGCCAGAATAAAGAAGACAAAGGAAGACATAACAGAAAAAAAAAACACTGAATATTTTCTTTTGCTATTAAATGATATTATTTACAAAACTTGAAACACCTCAGTAAGATCTACAGATTAGAAAACACATATTGGTGTTAATTTCCTGATTTTGGCAGTTAGACTCTGACTTTCTAAGGAAATATTCATTAAATTACTTCTGAGTAATGAGCTAGAAGTAACTTATTCTCTAACAGGTCAGGAAAATTAATGAATATGAGAGTGCGGGAGGACAAAGTAAAAAGTAAAATAATCTATAAATCTATAGAATCTATACATCTTTGTAGGATTCTTGCGTTTTCTAAATGTCTGAAATTGGTTAAAAATAAAAAGTTAAAATATATATGGAAAGATAAAGAGATGACAACCATTCAAAACCACTGTTTTATATATTTATATATATACATACATACATATGTAAGACAGTCTTGGAAAATAGCTGTTTTATCATAAAAGTTCCAAAAATGGTTAACATGTTTTTTAAAATATTTAAAACACTCCATAATAACTATATCGTTGTCTTCTCTACCATATCCTTCTTCCAAAAACTGAAAGAATAAAACACAGTTAAAAAGTTTTTCTACTAATATTAGAAGAGCAAAGTCTAAAGTTTTTTCAGAAAACAGTTGTACTAAATTTGAGAAGGTAAATGTCTAGATGTGAACAATTTCTATTTGCAAGTCTTCCCTTAAAAATAAATATGAAAGAGCCAGGCACAGTGGTGCATGCCTATGATCCCAGCACTCGGGAGGCTGAGGCAGGCGGATCGTTGCAAGTTCAAGACCAACCTGGGCTAGAAAGTGAGCTCAAGGCCAGCCTGAACTGCATAGTGAGACCTTGTCTCAAAAAGAAATAAATAAGTAAAAGCCAGAGTTATTCAAACTTAGTAACAAATCAATCCCTCCAATCTTATTTTCTTCTTGTTTTCAAACTCTGTAAGATGCATTTTGTGGGTCATCAAATCAAACCCTGTTTGCCACAAACATAAAACTAGGTAGAAGCCATACAAACTCCTTCCTCCAGTGAAACTAAATATGACCTGGTAATGTCGTTAGCTGCCTACTTGCTATCCATTCTCTTATTCTATAACATAAAGATGATCTTGTTACTTTCTTAGATCTCTCATCTTTTTATCATTTGAAAGTGCAGGGATGTTCTTCTCAGGGTACATGATAAACCTGGTATAAAAAAATAGGACACAGCCATGCACCCTGTAATCCCAGAACTCAGGAGGCTGAGGCAGAAGGAATGGGTGAGTTTGAGGCCAGCCTGGGCTGCACAGTGAGTTCAAGGCCAGCCTATACCACATAGCAAGATACTGCCTAAAGAAAAAAAAAAGATAGGACACTCTTATCTTAAATGCATAAGATCAGAACTATTTTGAAAGGTACTCTAACATCGTGTAATTCTGGAATAGGAACAAACTTCTATCTAGAACCTTCTACTGGAAAAGTTAATTTCATCTTCACAATTGTTAAATAACAAAAGTTCAGTAATATTTTACTCAGGAGAATCACCAAAAACTTAATAAATAAAATGCTTCAGTCATGCATTTTATTTTCTAATAAACCTATTCTTTCAACTAGTAAGGATTTTAAAAATATTAAGTTGAAAGATGAAAAAACAATTTACACAGGATAACTTCTCATTTTATGACTGGGTTAACAAACTGTGCCTTGCTTGGACACGGTAACCTTATGGACACATCAACACAGCCCTGTGGAGTTCTCCATCTAGACAGGGTGGGAAAGGTGAGAACGACTCTAGAAATCAGATAAACCATGATGGATCCCAATTACATAAAATTATTATACCAATTTTTGATGGGAATAATGTCTCATCATCCAACTGATCCTGGACCCAGGTCATCAGGTAATCAATATACTTCGGTGCAGAGCACTTAATAGGTTTCTTTATGTTTGTTCCATCTGCCCAATGATATTCATACCTATAATGGAAAGATAAAAAGCACACAGAATATCAAATAGAGTACAAATATTTTTACATTCTCTATATACATGTATTGTATACACAGACAAGTTTTAAACAATCTGTTCCTCCAAATAAAGGCATGCAGTATTAAGTTGCCAGTGAACTACTTTATAATAATCCAAGCCAAGCAGATTCCATAAATTCACCTTTTATGATTACACACTTTCTTTATGCGTCTTTATTACAACTTTCTTTCCCAGCTTTCCCTCATATTGAGTAGAATCATCCATTATTACTGTAGAAAAACTAGCTTACTTCTAGTTCTACGATACCCTTCAATATAATGGACTTCTTCCTTAAAAAGCATTTTGCCTTATACAGTACAACTCTTTTTTAACCTGGAGCTTTTGTGTAAAGGATGCAGAATGACACAGAAACTCCAAAGTAAGATTAACAGAAATGAGAATGACTCGATATGTTAGTACACTTGGCTGAGGAGCTAAACACGCACTTAAAGAAAACCTGCAACTCAAAGATGCACCTAGTTTTGGGTATTAACAGAACACGATCCTTTATTTAGTTAATATTTAATGTGCACCTATCATGTAAAGAATTCAGTAGGCATGCTTAAATGAAAGACACTTCTGTTCTCTCAGAATCAGTCCAGTAGAAAATTTTTGACAACTAAAAAGCTGGGGACCTCCAGCACTAAGGACACTGAGGCAAGAGGATCACTGCTAGTTCAAGGCCAGCCTGGGCTACAAAACAAGAAACAAAAAATCTAAGAGTCTCTCTCTCTCTTCCCTCTCCCTCCCTCCCTTCTCTCTTACACACACACAAACACACATACAACCTGAATTTTAAGTTAAAGAAACATGCAACTGAAATTCCAAAGTTATGAAAATCTCTAAAATGAATTAGCATTTAGATTTTTAGTGTATAGAGTTACTTATGCTCTTTCATTCTCTGAATCTATGGTGTCTGTATTCTCCTCAGAGTTTGAATTGGCTAAATTATAGGTCAGAGATGCTAGCAAAGGAAATATCAGAATTTATAAAGAAAAAATACCATGAAATATTTTAAATGATAAAAATTATCTTGAGATAGAATAAGGATGCTTTCTGTTTCATAATAACTACTTATACCTAAACAATAACCCTCAACACCTAAAGAAAACATTCTGTGGAGTACCTTATTGCCAGTGCTGGGCAACATGAATGACTATCAAGTTCATCTTGAAGGTCTCCAAGGGAGATTGCTCAACACTTCTTAGTATCTTGCTGCAATGATTAATCATCTTCCCAGGGAAAAGTATTCCCATTATAAACTAAAGTCTTTAGTGCAAGTTAAGCCTAGTTCTCTTCTTGTTTGATCTTCTTTGGGGATAGAGAACAACTTTTAACCATCTTTGGAGAGAGAGACCAACTTCTACCCATCATTATTCTTCACTTAAGAGATATGAATTCAGCCAGGAGTGGTAGCACACATCTGGTGATCCTAGCACTTGGGAGGCTGAGGCAGGAGGATTGCTTAGAGTTCCAGGCCAGCCTGGGCTACATAGTGAGTTTAAGGCCAGTCTCAACTATATAGTGAAACCCTGTCCCCCCAAAAAAGAGAGATAGGAATTCATCCATGTTTATATAAAGAAACCTTAATATTTTACCCTCATAATCAAGTTTTTCATCTTGTCTATGATTTTCAGGTGTAAAAGTGAAAAGAGACACATTAAACTGAAGAATCATATTCAACATACTTAAGTGTTAAATCAACTTTCACCTTTATTTTTTGAAAAATAAAACACCAATTACTGATACTTCTAGAGTTGAACACTATGATTTTTTTTTTTTTTTTTTTGGTTTTTTCTCCGGTACTGGGAACCGAACTCATGACCTTGCGCTTGCCAGGCAGGCGCTTTTGCCGCTGAGCTAAATCCCCAGCCCCCGAACACTATGATTTCTTAATCTTTTTCTCATGTTTACACTGAAGATGATTCCCTTCACTTTGAGTTACATCTTTCCCCAACGTTGAAAGGACATTCTCTTTGAAATTCTTTGCTGTCATCACAGTATGAACTTGAAAACTACAACTTCAAGACCACCATATTTTAATAATAATAATCAGTCCCTAAGAACCAAGCACTGTGAGCCATTATTCAATACTTATTTGTAAGAGGCTAGTGCTAAGTACAGGTTGCATACACCTAATGTAAAATCTAAAATGCTTCCAAAAAAATCCTCTGAATGCTGACAAGCTTGCCCAAGTGGGAAATTTCACACTTAGCCTCATGTGATGAGTCAAGTGCACCAAAAATACTTAACACTACTGTACTTAAAGTCACAAAAAATTACCTTCAATGTATGTGCATTAGGCTGTAAAGGTCAGTTTCTGCTTTTGGGACACAGTACCTGACATGCATAACTTACAGCAGAAAGGCTTTACTTTGGCTCAGGGTTTCAGGGTTTTCAGTGCATGGTCAGAGGGCTCCAAGGCAGAAACACCACAACAGAAGGCCGTGGTGGAGAAAAGCTGCTCAGGTTCAGGCAGCCAGGAACCAGAGAGGGCTGGAAAGAGCCAGAGAGAATGGAGCCACAGACCAGATATGCTCCCCACGGTCGCAGCCCGCGATCCCCTAGACACACTCAGGGGTGTGCTTCATTATTCCTCCAAGCATCTCTTAGCCAATCAAGATAAACCATCACAAAGGTGTATGGGAGACATAAAATGAATTCTATCCTTAGACTTGCATTACATCCCTGAGATACTCATGTTTATGCAAATATCCCAGACTCCAAACTCTATAAAACGTTTCTTGTCCCAAGCACTTCAGATGAGTGATACAGATCTCAAACAAATCCAGAGGAACTTGCTTTCCTAGAAGGCAGTGCAGTCTCATTCCTCAGTGCATAACTAACCATGTAGAGTAACAGCAAAATTAAAAACATCTACTTTCACAAGTAAAACTTAAATATCTAAAGTAAACACCAGTAATACTAACCAGAAGAAGTACTAAAAGGAATTTCATTTTTAAATGCCCCCTTAAGAATCTTCCCAAAACAAGTAACAGAAATTCATTTTCTCTTTGATGAAAGGAAACACCTGTGTCTCTGAACCACTATGTATAAAACTGAAGAGGACTACCCAAATCACATAAAACCAAATGGGGTTAGGAAAGACACAAAGAGGCAGCTGCAACAACGACCACAGAGGACAGTTCTCCAAGGTAAACACCCAGCTAACTCCACAGAAAGAGATCTAGCAGGAAGCAGGGGATTGAGAGATACTGGACTCTGAGTGACTGCAGCTGTTCATCCCTGGGGGCTCACAAAAGGTGAAGGTCCAGACAACAGCTTTGTACCTTTTTCTGTACTGAGAAGCCATTTTAGGTTTGAGCTCCTCATTTGCTATCTCCGGATTTTTCCTGAGTTCTTATCAGTACTTTTATCAGTTCTTATCAGTACTTATCAGTATTTTTCCTGAGTTCTTATTTGTTATGAACTCCTTGTTTGTTCATTTGACTAAATTCTTTATGTTTGTGACAGTTCAGGAGGTAATATTTTTGTGGTGAATGTTGTGTGAAATAAAATACCTAATCCATGAAAGGCCTTATATTTAGATAACATTAAATCAATAGCAGCTGCCACTATTATTATTAGTAATGGCAACAATAAAAGCCAGTTTCAAAAATGCCTTAAGTGGAACCAACCCTTATTGACTGCTAACTAGTTGGTAAGTAATGTCCTTGCACCAAAAGTGACTTAAAAGAAAAACAAATCCAACAGATTAAATAATGCATGTGGGGGCCAGGAGGGCAGTTCCATAATAGTGCACTTGTACTTGCTTAACATGCAGAAGGCCATAGGTTCAATCTCTGGCACCACAGGGGGAAAAAAAGGACAAATACCATAAGAAGTATAATGTAGCAAAGACATACAATCATAAGGTAAAAAAGCTAAATATGTCACATCTATTCTGAAGAAATCAGAAGGCTTCATGGAAAACCATATGATGTGCATCTTCAAGCTAGGTAACACTTGATTTGATATACTAACAGAAGGCAGAGAAATGGAAAACAAGAAAAATGTCCAAGAGTAAAAAAGACTAAGCGAGTTTTCAGAAAGAAAGAAATGGAGGGAACAGCAAGGTATTTTTCATAATCTAATTTGGATAGACTAAAGAATATACAAGAGTGTACAGACAAACGGCAGAACAGAAGACAATACAGGGAGCGTCATAAAACTCAAACTAAGGAAAATTCAATTCATATAAATTTTCAATTATAAAACTCTCATCAGTTTCTTCACTTTAGTGGTTTGCCACTGACTTAATATATCAATATTTGATAATATTGATACACTGATTTGATATATCAATATTTGATATTGCTATATTAAATACTGATATATATCAATATTTGATAAATATTGGTATATTAAGTTGCTAAGTAGAAAAAACTCACAGAGGGAAAAAAAAGAAACTTCCTTCTTATCTAAAAACTACAAAATAAAGATGAGAACTGGTCACTGATGCCTTACTTTGGTCCAGCTGACATGACTGGACAGCTCTCTTCTGTACAGAAGTCTGTGATGGTCCCATAAAGCATGTTGATCTGATTGAAGAAATCCACAGCTGCAAAGCAAATGTTATTAGTGAGTAGCAGCTCAATTTATAAATCACTGACATTTCAAATTACAAGATACTATAAAGTATTAAGAAAAATATTGTTTTGCTTGTCCATAAAGCCTAGATATCTGGTCGACAGTTTCAATTACATCTCATTTTATTTTAATTCAATACATATAAGAGTAGAGACCATGTCTCAAAAAATAAAAACAAACAGAAATCACTTCATTTTCAGAAATAAAATACCATAAAGACTCAAGATGGATTTTGGTACGACTGTGTCACAATATTAGGTTGCTAACAATAGGTCCCACAATAATGATCACCTTAGCGGTGCCAGACGACGAGACTACTACCCTAACTCAGAGAAACAGGAGGGCTACTTACTGTTCACAGCAACCCACTCATTCAGATCTTCTCCCTCCGGAAGCATGACAGCCATCCTGAGGTTGCCACTGCCAAGAGTGGCTTCCGCATGTTTCAAGAGCTCATATTGGTGAGAACCCTCTGGGATGTTCTTCTTTGGTTTAAATGTCTTAGAAGAGCGACTGCCACTACAACCAGAAAAGGAGAAATACAAAAACATTTTAATATTTAAGGCAAGACCATCAACAGAATCTACCACACTGTATCACCAGAGTCAATAACATATAGTTGATCTTCAATATCCACAAATAACAGCAAATATACTTTTAGCCACCCCTACTATTCCACCTAAACTCTACTGGCTACTTATCCTGGCAATGTAATTTCTATAACTAGTGTATTCTCTACTGAAGAGATGTACAAACTTTCTTCTACATTGCCTACTTTAACACATAAGAAGAAAACTAACTTCACTATAATTAATCTAGCTCTTCACAATAAGTTCATGACTCAGGATTAGATTGTAAACTACAAAAACAAGTACTTCCATTATTATCACTTTATTCCATTTTCACCCCTATTCTCTCATTCTAACATAAATATATTCTTTTATAAGAAATACAAAGATATAGCACTGTATCAATAAACAGAAACATCTGGCCAGGCATAGCACCCTGAGAGACTGAGACAAGAGAAGAGCAAGCAGAAGCCCAGCCTGAGCAATTTAGCAACTTGGTGAGACCCCATCTCAAAGCACCCCAGGTGTGCAGGCACAATTCAATCCCTAGTACCACCCAAGACAAAAACTCCTACAGTAAGGAAAAAAAGCTAAATAGTTACCAATTACAGGATACATCAGCAACAAATCTTAATCCACAATCCTGATTAAAGTAGCACTGATACACTGGTATCATGGTATCCCTGGTCTGCTCAAAAGTGTCTATACAATTTATGTATATACATACAGTGAGCCCTCCATATCCGTGAATTCTCCACTTGCTGATTCAACCAAGCAAGGACTAAAGATACTTGGAGAAAGCTATCTGTACTAAACATGTGCAGACTCTTGTCATCATTTTCTAAGCAATACAATGGGGGCTGGGGATTTAGCTCAGTGGCAAAAGCGCCTGCCTGGCAAGCGCAAGGTTGTGAGTTCGGTTCCCGGTACCGGAGGAAAAAAAAAAAAAGCAATACAACATAACACTTCCTCACATAGCACTTACATCCTATCAGCTATTAGAAGTAATCTAGAGATGATGGAAAGTATACAGGGTAAGTGGAGATTATACGCAAATATTATACCATTTTATAAAAGAAACAAGCATCTGCAGATTCTATCTGTGATAAATCCTGGACCCAGCCCCTTAAATATATAGGACAACTATACCCACATGCACATGAGGTGGGGTGTACCAGCCACTCAGAATCCTAAGTCAAGAGGATCACAAGTTTGAGGCCCAGCAGGGGCAACATAAGACCTTGTCTCAAAATAAAAAAATAAATAAATAAAAGGGCTGAGGATATAGCTCAGCAGCATTCCCTGGGATCAATCACTAGTATTGAAGGAAAAAAACAGTTTTTAAGAGATGGAATCTTCTATTAATGCTGGCAAGTTCTAGTATCAAGATGTAATAAGATCCTCAATATTCTTCCTTCTTTGTATGAAAAGGAACAGACTAAAAAGAATTAGGAAAGACTGCATAAGTGGGAATTCTATAGCTGTGCTATTAAATTCATACCATTAAAACATTCAAATATTTGAAGATGTGACTATGAAAGCAGAATTCTAAAAACACAAACAATGGTTAGTTATACTCTCAAGCTTCTCATAGCTTTCACTCATTACTCCCTTCTCCCAATGTTAGCCCCCAAATCTCTCCCTCTTTCGCCAAAACCAAGTAGGAGGAGCCTTCAAAAAAGATTGAGGATCTTGAAATAAACTAAAAATCTATTACTTGGCCTGAATTTCCAATTCAAATGATGGGTATTCATCATTCTAAATCATATCCTCTACTGGCATTCCAATTCAAATGTCAGTATTTTAGAATTAAATTTGTGTTGCTCAACTCTAAACACATTATCATCCCCTATCTCCCTTCAGCAGTTAAGGAATCTCTTTTTAAAGAACCACTCATCAGGTGATGTTATTCCTCTGCTTAGACTTACTGAGTAAGTTTCCAGTAAATTCAAAGGTCAAACATGAGATTTGTCACTGAGTGTGGTGGCACATGCCTATGATCCCAGTACTCAGGAGGCTGAGGCAGGAGGATCACCACAAGTTCAAGGCCAGCCTGGGCAACATAGTGAGTTCAAAGCCAGCTTGATCTGCATAGCTAAACCCTCTCTCAAAAAAATACACGTGTGTGTGTGTGTGTGTGTGTGTGTGTGTGTATTTAATATATATATGAGACCGGTTAAGTTCTAGACCCACTCTAGTATGGAAATTTTTCTCCCATTTAATCAGGTAATTCTAAAATAGAATTAAGCAATGGCAAAAAAATTTTTCTCCCATTTAATCAGGCATTTCTAAAATAGAATTAAGCAACGGCAAACAGCAATACCAAAACAACACCCAGGATAATTGGAGGTAATTTATGTCAATGGGCCCTGATCAGGATCATTTCCAGAACATCAGGCCCTGAACTCTGATGGTCTAGAGCGTACATGGGATAAGCAAGCAGGAAGTACAGGGACAGAATTGCTTGTCAGTTGGGGATTGGTTTATATAATATACATCATAGTGACCAGCTATGCATCACAGTGACCAGCCACTTCTAAGAGACCAGAAACAACCAGAACTGGAACAGGAACTATTACCTGGGCAACTAAGAAACTTCAGTATTCTGACTGGGGGGGGACATTTTCTGTTACAAGTAAAATATAAACTCATCTATATAAATATGTCTTTCAAGCTTGAGGCTTATTTCATTTCCCTCCTCAACCCTCTTGAAGTTTAATATGAGAAACATGCTACCAACACATTTCACAATCAGACATTAGTTTATGTGTGAGTAATTATAAAAATAGTTCTCATACAACTGATGTGGTAAGGTGCCAGGTACACTCCCTTCACCCTTCACTGGGCTGCAACCAGTGCTGCAGATGAGGACAAGGCAGGCAACTCTGCAAGGGATGCCTGGGCCCCCAGCCCGCCTGCCTCAGGGTCACAGTCTCCCAGCCCCTTGGACCCAGCTTGTACCAGAGTTCTAGGGTTCACAATGTTTTCTCAACCCTGCTTCTTCCCCCAAACTAAAGCTACCTCAGATCTTATGCTTTGGCAGAAAGGAAAAAAATCAGAGTTTGATTTTACAAAGGCCAGGTTTGACACACATTAGCTGTGTTAACTACTTTAAGGCAAATTACTTAACTTTCCAGAGCTTCCTTTACAGTAAAAGACTAACCAAAGTAACAAACCATCACAAATACCTGTATCCCAGAATATGCAAAATAGAAAAAGTAATGCATGCGAAAAAGCTTTAAAACTGTCCCAAAAAAAAAAAAAAATCAAAGCACAAAAAATTAATCAATTGAAAGATTTTTAGAAGTGCTGGAGACACAGCTCAGTGCTCCCTGGAAAAGTCATCATCCAGGGGACTAAATGATCTCTTATAACAACAATGTATGCCAAACGTCATCTGCAGGGGGCACAGTGTTCAAGACACATGAATGCACAACTTCAAAAATGTTCAAAAGCACAAAGCTGCCCTCTCACCCAACTCAGAAGAACTCACACTTACCAGTATGTTTGTCTCTGCCCAGAGTCTATGCCTGTACAAACTTAAGAATGTTGGGGCTTACCTCCACGTCTTTACACAATAGGAAAATACTGTCATTTACTAAATAGTGTTTTTCATTTAATACATCAAGGATATTGTTCTACATTAAAACATAAGTAGACCTACCATATTCCTCCTAAAATGTATAGAATTTCCTTATATGGCTCTATCATAATGTTGTTTAACCAGCCCCTGCTGGTTAAACATTCAGATCGTGGCCAGTCAGTGGATACCATAACCCATCTTGCACTGAGCTCCTCATGCATATGCACACATGAAAAGATCAATTCCTAGTCCTGCTTTGCTAATTGGCATGTAAACATTCAAATTTTACAAAATGCTTATTTTTCCCCTATTAAGATACATCCTTTTTGAGTCCCAATAACAATGTCTAAGAATAGTGGAGCTTGAAGGACAGTGACTCAATTGCTAATTTCTTTTTCCAGCTCCCAGCACAGCTCCTAACTACGGAGCTTGTAGAGCTTTCTGACTGGGATGTGAGCATCATGTTATGTGTAAAGAATACTGTATAAACAGTATAAGTTGAAACCACTGCTTTTCAAATAAATATCCTAGACATTCACATTTGTTTTCCCTGGCCCTTCCACTCCTACTTGAAGGCTAATCAATTTTTTTTCTTTTTGGTACCAGGAATCAAATTCATGACCTCGCACTTCCAGGCATGTGCTGTGCTGCTAAGCTATATCCCCAGCCCATTTTTCAAAGCAAGATAGGCCTGCCTATCTAGTAAATAACTCAGTCCTAGAAATATCTCTGAACACGTATCTTTTACAGTCTTCCAATTTGATTTAACTTTCATAAGTTTCAACATTATTTGATTCTTCTTTGACATCCTAAAGAACATATTAGGTCCTATAATGACACAAATGACATCAATGAAATTGTTCTTTTCTAAATCAGATTGCAGAAGGAAGGCTGAAGGACAGAAGGGTGAGAGTAACGTACTTATAGAGATCTAAAATCAGACACACTAGTAGAGGTTAAAAGAATAAGGAAATACATGGTGAGTATGGTGGCACATGTCTGTAATCCAAGCAGTCAGAAGGCTGAGGCAGGAGGATTGCTGTGAATTTGAGGTCAGCCGGGACTACACAGTGAGTTTAAGGCTGGCCTGAACTATATAACAAGACCCTGTCTCAAAAAAAAAAAAAACTTGTATAATTTTGATACTGAAGAGTTTGACAGTTTATTCAAAATCACAATCAACATTATTATCTTGTATCAACAGTCCTACCCCTTTAAGGTTAAGTGATTCCCTGACAGCACAGCTAATGGCAGAACTGCGATCCAGTAACAGTCCATTATGTTGAATAGCTGAATCTCAGTATTGTACTGAATCTTAGCTTGCTCATCTATAAAATGGGACTGACAATACCTACATTACTAACAAA